AGCTGAGCACAGCTCTCCAGCGGCTGCCCGAGTCCCTCTTGAAATGGGCAGGGCAGGGAGGGCGTGGGCACCAGCGCAGGTGCTGGGGCTCATTTCTTAGGCCTGCGTCATGGCTATGACCCTTGGCCGGGTGGGATGGGGGCTGTGTCTATGACGCCACCGTGGCCGTCCCTTGGGTCCCTCGGAATAGGAGGTGGAAACAGATCGGACAAGATTCGGCCCCACGTTGGGGGGAGAGCAATGGTGTGCAGAAGTGGGGAGGCCCTATCTAGGGACAAGCAGAAAACAGGGTGGGCAGATGCCCCCCGAACCCTTTGCAGGGAGTGCCAGAGTCCAGAGAGGCTGCTGTGTGACTTGGACCAAGCCCCTTGTCCTCTCATGCCTCAGTTTCCCCTTCTCTCCATGGACGGATTGAGCAGGACATGGAGGGCCCCTTCCCGTAGCCATTCTGGGACTCCTTGCACCTGTTCCCAGCGAGGAGACAGGGGAGGGTCCTGAGCTGGCCTCCACGTGGCTGCTGTTCCCCACAGTGGAACCTCGTGTGTGGAGACGGCTGGAAGGTCCCGCTGGAGCAGGTGAGCCACCTCCTGGGCTGGCTGCTGGGCTGTGTCGTCCTGGGAGCAGGCTGTGACCGGTGAGGCCCCTTCTCTTTTCCTGCTGCCCAGTAGCCCTCCCCTCCGCCTGCTCTCAGGGTTCAGCTAGACCTGGTGCTGCCAGGATGAAGGTTGGACCCTGCATTATCCTGACACTGTCCAAGCATGTCCCCCACTGCCCACCAGGTTTGGCCGCCGGACAGTTTTTGTGGCCTCCCTGATGCTGGCCACAGGCCTGGGGGCCAGTGAGGCCCTGGCTGCCAGCTTCCCTACCCTGCTGGTCCTGCGCCTACTCCACGGGGGGACATTGGCAGGGGCCCTCCTCGCCCTGTACCTGGCTCGTGAGTACCATGGGGGCTGCTGATACTGGGGGAGGGGCAGTGGGTGGCCCGCAGGCCTCTGAGGCTCCCTTGCCGAGCGCCCTGAGCTGCAGGGACGGTGAGCAGTGAGTCCCCCTTGGGCATCCCGCTCCTGGGCAGGTCACCGATAGGGTCACCGCAGTTCCCCATGGAACTGTTCCATTCCTCCCCGAGGCCTCCACCTCGGCCTGTCTGTGTCTGCCCAGGCCTGGAGTTGTGTGACCCTCCGCACCGCCTGGCCTTCTCCATGGGGGCTGGCCTTTTCTCGGTGGCAGGCACCCTGCTGCTGCCCGGCCTGGCTGCGCTTGTGCAGGACTGGCGTCTTCTGCAGGGGCTGGGCGCCCTGATGAGTGGACTCTTGCTGCTCTTTTGGGGGTAAGTGTGGTGGGAGCTGGGACAGCAGCCCCCATGGGGGCTGAGTGTGTAATTTCCCTCCCACACCAGGTAAGTGGCTGGGTCACAGGGTCACAGAGAACCACAGTGATGTCCTGCCCCAAGCCTAGGGGTAGGGTGGGGGCCCTGGCCTCTGCCTCTCCTTCCAGGAGGAGGTGGAGGGAGCCGTGGGCATCCTCACCAACCCTGCAGGTTCCCAGCCCTGTTCCCTGAGTCTCCCTGCTGGCTGCTGGCCACAGCTCAGGTAGCTCAAGCCAGAAAGATCCTATGGCACTTTGCAGAAGCCAGCGGCGTGGACCCCGAGGACAGTTCCTTGGAGGAGAGCTCCCTGGTTACAGGTCAGGCGCCTACCAGGGAGGAGGGAGATTCGGGTACTGGAGGAGGGCTTTGGAGACGCACTGCTCCTCACCCCCCTCCCCTCACGTCTCTGTGACTACAGAGCTGGCCATGCTGTCTGCGGGGAGCCCCCAGCCCCAGTACCAGTCCCCGCTGGGGCTCCTGCGCACCCAAGTCACCTGGAGAAATGGACTTATCTTGGGCTTCAGCTCGTGAGTTGAGGAAGGGCTGGGGTCCTGCACATTCCCCCGGGGGTGGGTGTGTGGTCCCCAGAGTCCCCAGCTCTGGCTGGGCCCATAGCTTTGCCCTCTCTCCCAGGCTGGTTGGTGAAGGCATCAGAGCCAGCTTCCGCCGCAGCCTGGCACCTCAGGTGCCGACCTTCTACTTGCCCTACTTCCTAGAGGCCGGCCTGGAGGCGGCAGCCTTGGTCTTCCTGCTCCTGACCGCAGATCGCTGTGGACGCCGCCCCATCCTGCTGCTGGGCACCATGGCCACAGGCCTGGCATCCCTGCTGCTCCTCGCCGGGGCCCAGTGTGAGCTTGGGGCCCCGCAGGCCATACAGGGGCCATTATGTTTGGGCTGAGGGTCTGCCCCACCAGGGGGCCATAGTGCTGACGGGGGAGCAGGCTGGGGCGGCGGCCCAAGGCCAGCTGCTGTTTGTTTTCCTCTGATCCTTTTGGAAGGTCCAAAAGGACCTTTTGTGACTGGCCTAAAGTAAGGAGCCTGTCTGAGCCTAAAACACCTGCCCCAGCCACAGAATGCAGCACAGGCATGAGAGGTCGGGAGACCAGGCTGGGTAAAGCTCTTCCCAGAGTTCCAGGTGGCCGAGGCCGGCCATGGGCTGGCGTGGGAGGGCCCATATACTCAGGGCCGGCCACATGGTGTGTGGAGCTGGGTGCAAAATGAAATGCAGGCCTTGCTTCCAAAGCATTCAAGATTTTAGGATGGTTCTCGAAATTGCGAAGACAGTGGACAGCACAGCAGTAGCTGAGCGCAGGCTTGGGTGGAGGCGGTCGGTGTGGCTGTGACTTGGGGTCAGGATTCTAATATCCTTAGAATCCAAGCCAGGCTGGAATCAGGCTGCAGAGGACAGGTTCCCCTGCCAGGTTTCTCAGAGGGGCTGAAGAAGGAGGCCTGGGAAGTAGGTCGCCAGACAAGCAGTGTGGTTTTCTGGGGAGGGGCCTTGAGTGGCCAGGGTGGAAGGCCTTGGGGGAAAGGCTGGGAACCCCTATCCTTTGTCCTCAGATCTGCCAGGCTGGACCATGCTGTCTCTCTCTGTCCTGGGGCTCCTGGCTTCCAGGGCTGTGTCTGCACTCAGCAGCCTCTTTGCAGCTGAGGTCTTCCCCACGGTGATCAGGTGAGCTTCAGGGCTGCCCGGCCACACAGCAGGGTCCAGGGCTGCCCCTGGGGAGGAGGGCCCAGGTGGACAGGAGGCCCTGTCCCCACACCCCACTCAGGTTCCTGCCTGTGATTCCTCCATCCAGTAAGGACTCGAGGTGAAGCACTGGAGCCCCCTGCTCCTGGATGGCGGGGGCCACTGCCCGCAGAAGGCTCTGGGCAGATGACTCAGGAACTGGGAAGGGGAGGGAAGGCCATGCAGGCCTGAAGCGGGGTGTGCAGCCTGGGCGTGAGATGAGGAAGCCTCCAGCAATGGCAGAATTCCAGGGGAAACCATCACTTTCCAATCTTTTTTTTTTTTGAGATGGAGTCTCACTCTGTCGCCAGGCTGGAGTGCAGTTGTACGATCTCAGCTCGCTGCAACCTCCAACTCTGGTCCAAGCGATTCTCCTGCCTCAGCCTCCCGAGTAGCTGGGATTACAGGCACACGCCACCATGCGCAGCTAATTTTTGTATTTTTTTTTTTTTTTTTGAGACGGAGTCTCACTCTGTCACCCAGGCTGGAGTACAGTGGCCGGATCTCAGCTCACTGCAAGCTCCGCCGCTCCCGGGTTTACGCCATTCTCCTGCCTCAGCCTCCCGAGTAGCTGGGAGTTTACAGGCGGCCCTCCCACGTTCGCCCTGATTCGGCTACATTTTTTGTATTTTTTTAGTAGGACGACGGAGTTTCACCGTGTTAGCGCGGATGGGTCTTGATCTCCTGACTCGTGATCCGCCCCGTCTCGGTCCTCCAAAAAGTGCTGGGATTACAGGCTTGAGCCACCGCGCCCGGCCAATTTTTGTATTTTTAGTAGAGACAGGGTTTCACCATGATAGCCAGGATGGTCTCGATCTCCTGATCTCGTGATCCACCCGCCTCAGCCTCCCAAAGTGCTGGGATTACAGGCGTGAGCCACTGCGCCCGGTCACTTTCCAGTCTTATAATGAACAGAGGAAAAAGTGCTCCAGGACGAGAAAGAGGTTTTCCCAAAACAATTTTTCAAATTATCCTCAGCCAGCAAACCTCAGGCTCTGCGGAGGCCGGGCCTTCCTGCCGCTCACTCTGGAGTCACGTGCATGTCCCCAGATCTGTTGCCCCACCAGCTGCCCCCAACGCACTCTCTTCCACAGGGGGGCCGGGCTGGGCCTGGTGCTGGGGGCCGGGTTCCTGGGCCAGGCAGCTCACCCCCTGGATGCCCTGCACGGCCGACGCGGCTTCTTTCTGCAACACGTCGTCTTCGCCTCCCTTGCTGTCCTTGCCCTGCTGTGTGTCCTGCTGCTGCCTGAGAGCCGAGGCCGAGGGCTGCCGCAGTCCCTGCAGGACGCCGACCGCCTGCGTCGCTCCCCACTCCTGCGGGGCTGCCCCCGCCAGGACCACCTGCCCCTGCTGTCGCCCTCCAACTCCTGCTGGGCCGGCCACACCCCCGAGCAGCGCTAGTCCTGCCTGGTGGCCCTGGGAGCCAGAATGGGACCGAGGTCAAGGCCTGGAGCATGACTGAGTACCCCAGACATCTGGTCCAGGGGAGACACATTCGTCTCAGAAGCCCGTGTCTCAGTGCAGGTGGAGCCATGGGGACAGCATGAAGGTGTCCTCAGCCAGGCCCCAGGCACTGGGAGGCCCTGGGTCTCCTCCCTGGCCACACCCAGCAGGTGTGGAAGATAAAGGCTTCCATGGAACTGGTTCCCTGGTTTTTCCCTCAGGCCACACCTGGGGCCTGGAGGGGCCTCACCTGTGCCTGCTCCCCACCTCTGGGCTCACTAGTGAGGAGCCAGGGTGTCAGCAGCTGCTCCATAGCCCCTGTCCAGGTAGTGGCAGCCCCCGGTCGCCCCCTGCTCCAGCCAAGCAGGGTGGGATGGGGGCCCAGCTCTCAGGTCCCTGCCAGGCCAGGCCTCACTGGCCCCATCCCCTTCATGGTCAGTGTGGCACGGGGCGCCCGCCCCACATGAGAGAGACTAGCATGGTTTTCATTCAGATTTACCCAGGAGGTTTCTGTCTTTCGTACAAAGATGAGATCCACTGGTAGGAGGCAAAGGTGGGACTAGGGGGGTGACCCCCATGGGGCCGAAGGAGAGAAACTCTTCCCACCCCGGCAGGAAGGGTCCTCTTCCTGGCTGCCCCATCCACACTCAGGTTCTGCCCCCAGACTTGGGCCCTCGCCTGCAGGAAGGAGGCTGCCCCAGGCCCGTGGGGGTCAGGCCCGGTGACCTCAGGCTGCCTCTGCAGGGGCCATCGCTGCCACGCGGCCGGGGAGTGGCGTGTCCAGTTGTGCCCCAGGGTCAGGCTGTCCGGCCTCTGTGTCTGAGTAGAGGTGCCCTGGGAGAAAGACCCTCCCTGGCCCCGTGGTCCCATCTGGCCCCTTGCTCCGACCCTCATGGGTTCCCGTACATGTCTGCCAGCCGGGCGAAGCGGGGCCCCCAGTCCCTGAGGTAGTCGTAGTCTTGGTCCTCATCGCCCTGGCTGGACAAGATGGAGCTCAGGGTCCCCGCCACCGAGCCATCACCCTCGTAGTCATAGATGAGGGCTGTGTCGTAAGGCGGCACACTGGGGTCACTATCTGCAGCCTCCAAACCCTGCAAAGAGGCCAGGAGAGCTCAGGATGCACGGAGGGGCCAGCAGGTGCCCCACCGCCATGGCCACAGCCCAGGGCAAAGTCAGCTCAAGGCAGAGGCTCAGGAAGGGGAAGCTGCCTATGTCTGGGGTGAGGTCTGAGGGGCACAGCAGACCTGAGGGCAAAGCGTCCTGAGGGCACAGCAGCAGGACCATGAAGAGGGGGCCGTGGACTGCCCCTTCCTCAGGATTAGGCCAGCGGCCAGCCCGTCCCCCAGGGCTCTGCCCTGCCCCAGCAAGGTGGGAAGGGGTTGCTCCCCATCACCCTGGTCTCCTCATCCCGGCGGCCCCTGTCCACTCAAGGCAGAACCTGAACCTCCCGGACACCTCCATCCGCAGGACGGCCCGCCTGCCTTTTGGAGGCTCTGTCTGCATGTCTGTCCTCTTAGCTCATGGGGACACGCACGCTCCTAACTGGGGGTGTACACCTTCGCTGAGGGCTTTCTCCGAGTCAGGTGCTACAGGTGCAGAGGAGGGTTCCCTGTGCACCCCCCACCCCAGATTTCCCATGTTCATGTTCACCCTGTGGACCGCAGGGAATCATTAACACTGCGTCCAGAGGGGCTCCTAGGGAGGCCTTGATTCCGCTGAGAGCCACCAAAGCCTAAGGGGTGCTCCCGGGGCTCCCCCACCCGCTCCACGGTGGACACAGGGCAGTGGATGGGTCTGTGGCCACCGCCACTCCATCCATGCAAAGACCTGCATGGTGGGTGGAAGCTGAGGGCCCAGTTCGGACGGTGGCAGTGGGGCTTCCACACTCCCGCCCGTACATCATCTTGCTCTGCGGTGTCCTTGGGTGGTACATAAGTGCATGCATGTGCAGGTGTATAAATATGCATATGTGTGTGCACCTATGCGTGCCAGTGTGACTGGGGTGTCCCCAGGAGCACCTACATCACTGATGAAGTCGGCGATGTCCAGGGGGCTGGTGGGCAGCGCTCGGGGTGGCTGGGGGTGCAGGCGGCTCTGTGGGGCATCTCTGCGAAGTGGCGGCGGCCCCAGAGGCAGGCTCAGCGCTGTCGGGTGACGCAGCTGGCTGATGTCGTAGGCGTCCTGTGGGCGAGGATGTGGAACAGAGCCAGGCATCCCTCGGGTGGCCCTGGTGGAGGTCTCAGGTAGAGGCTCCTGGCCAGCTTGTTGTATGAAGGCCCGCGACCTGGGTTCCTTGGGGACCCCTCCCCACCCACGCCTGCCCCCTCACCTGGTCCTCCTCCCCGCCTCCCTGCTCATCGTAGTTGAGGACATTGTCTCGAAGGTCGTCCTGGGGGCCGTGCAGCAGCCCCTTGCCCCGCGACTGCTGCCGGAACCGTGCCCGGAGTGCCACGAGCAGGACTAGCACTGGGGAATGAGGGGACGCAGGCTGGGGCCAGGAACAGGACGCGACTTCAGGGGCCGGGCTGCGAGGGAGGTGGGAAGAGGGGGCGGGGCGGGGCAAAAGGGGGCACGGCTGGTAACCAGGGAAGGGGTTGAGGGGGCGGAGCTTGGGAAAGGGCGTGTCTGACATGGAGGAGCCGGGTTGGGGAGGAGGGGGCGTGGCTGGTAAGGAGGGGCTGGCTTGCGGGATGGGGCGTGGCTGGCAAAGACTGGGCGGGGTTGAGTGGAAGGGGCGTGGCTGGTAATGAGGGTGGGGCCGGGGAGGAGGCGGGGCCGGGGAGGAAGGGGCGTGTCTTGTACTGAGGGGGGCGGGGTTAGGGAGAAGGAGCCCGAACTGGGGAGGAAAGGGCGTGGCTGGTTAGCAGCGGGCGGCCTGGGGAGGAGGGTCCGAGGGTCCGAGGGTCTGAGGGTCCAGGTGGAGGTGGGCGCTCACTCACCCAGCAGCAGGAGGGCGCTGGCCAGCACGATGACCAGTGCGCCCAGGCTGAGGCCTGTGCCACCCGCCAGCAGCGCGGCGGCCCCCGGCAGGCAGACGCCGTCCTGGCCGCAGCGGCACACGGTCACGTTCAGCGGCTGCTCGCGCTGCTGGGGCGGCTGCCCCGAGTCCCGGAGCAGGAGGCTGAGGCGGTGCAGGCCTTCGGGGACCTGGTTTCGCGGCCGCAGGCGTGCATGGCTCACTGCGGAGGGCGCCCGTGGTGAGCGAGGGCCTCCCCGAGGCCGCCCCTACCTCGCCTGTCCTCCTCGCGCCGAGACAGGGTGGGGAATCCCGAGATCCTGGGCCTGGGTTCCCCCCACCCTCCTCTGTCCTCTGGGCGCGATAAGTAACCCTGCCCCGCACGAGGATGCAGCGGGTGCGGGGGGGGACCCTGTTGCAGGACCACGGGGTTGCACGCCCCTCGGCCTCCTGCCCCTGGTCCCAGGCCGGAGTGTGGGATCCGGGGAGCGCGGCGGTGGGGGGAGCGCGGCGGTGGGGGGAGCGCGACGGTGGGGGAGAGCGCACCGTTGACCTGGCTGAGGCTCCAGTTCCGGCCGAGCTCTGGGAGCCTGGGGCTCAGCTGGAAGTGGAAGGGGGCCCCGTGGGGGGGCAGGTCCTCATCCGTGGCGCCCAGGAGGAGGCCGGGACCCTGGTGCGGTTCGCTGCACAGGCTGCCTGGCGGCGGCAGGGCCAGTACGGGTGCGTGGTCGTTCACCTCCAGGATCTCAATAGACAGGGTGCCGGTGGCGGTGCGGGGCTGGGGGGCTGCAGGCGAGAGGGCTGTGGCTCGGTGACCCCACCCCAACACCCCAGCCCGCCCCACCAGTCGGCTCAGAGGGGTGCGCAGCTCTGAACTCCTGGGCAGCAATGGGCAGAGCCCTTGGACACCGGCAGGGGTGCTCAGCCGGGACAAGGCCGGGTCAGGGAGCCCCAAGCCAGCCGCACCGCTCACCGTCATCCTGGGCCAGGACAATGGCTCTGTACCAGCCGCCCTTGAGGAAGGGGGACGCCGGGCTTAGCACCCGCTGGGTCTGGATCCGGCCAGTGGCTGCGTCCACTTGCAACCAGTCTTCCGGGTCGTAGTCCTTGGAGTAGCTGATACAGGGGAGGGGAAGAGTGGGATCTGAGTTTATCCCAGGGCCCCACAGGTGTGGTCAGGTATGGGTGCATGACATGCACTGCACACACACACAGGCACACACACACCTACCACATGCATGCGCACATGCACATACTACACGTGTACACACACACCCTTCCATGCACACGCATGCACACACATGTATATACCACATACACATACATGCGTATGCACAGCACACACACATGCACATATATACCCATAGACACTCTCACATCTTGCACAACCCTCCCCCCACACCTATACACCACACGTATGTACCACATATGTGCACACACGTATGCACACACACATGTACACACAACCCATGTGCATATGATGGGAGCTGCAGTCACTGGCACCTCCTGTGAGGTGAGGAAACTGAGGCTCAGGGAGGGCAGGCAAGCTGTCCAGGGCCCTGAGACAGAGTGTGGCAACCTAGTTAAGCCCCAGTCGGTGCTCGCCCTTCCTGGGCACCGCAGACACAGACAGGGATTCACAGGGCCAGGCTTGGGGTGAAATGAGATGTGAACGGCCAGTCTCTTGGGAGCAGGGGCCTCCGGGGATGGACACAGCTGGCAGGGACAGACTGTGGCATGCACAGGCTGGAGCCGGGCCTGCCCTAGGGGGTGAGGTCACCCCAACATGCACACACAGGGATGCTTGGGACTCGAGACCCTCCAGGCCTTCAGGAACCCACACCAGCAAATGGCCGCTACGCCCTCTGACCCTCAGAGCCCAGGGGTCAGGGGCACCCGAAGCAGGAATGGGGCCGTTAGCCTCCTCTGCCTCCACCAGTGCCTCAGGATCCCCACCTGAGCCTCTGCAGCTGCTCTGTGTCAGGGTCCCAGGCAGAGAAGATGGCCACCAGAGTGCCTGGGGGTGCCCCCTCTGCTAGGCTGGTCCGAAGTGGGTTCTCCTGGAACACGGGGGGCTCGTTGGTGTCCTGCACATGCACGCGGACCTTGGCCTGGCTCCGCTCGGCCCTGGGGGCAGCTGCCTGCAGCGGGGCCTCATTCTGCACCAACACTTTGAGCTCGTAGTGTTCACAGCTCTCATAGTCCAAGGCCTGAGGGAAGGAAGCACAGCCCGTCACTCACCCAATGCAAGTGTGGGCACCCGAGGGTGGGTGCCATGGGGGAGCCACTCCTTGGGTCTGTCCAGAGTGCCTGTACTTTCCTTCTGCCCCTTTTTAACCCTGAAAAAACAAATTATGCAGGACGAGAAGGCACAAATAATATTATTAAAATGCTGGTTGTGTGTGGTGGTGGTTGGGGAGAAGCCCAAGGTCCAAGCACACGTTCTGCAGGGGTTTGAGCGAGAGTCGTGGGGGGGATGTCGCCAGCCCCTGCAGTCACTTGATTTTAAATAAAGGAGATTAGGCCGGGCATGGTGGCTCACGCCTGTAATCCCAGCACTTTGGGAGGCCGAGGCGGGCGGATCACAAGGTCAGGAGATCGAGACCACGGTGAAACCCCATCTCTACTAAAAATACAAAAAACTAGCCGGGCGAGGTGGCGGGCACCTGTAGTCCCAGCTACTCGGGAGGCTGAGGCAGGAGAATGGCGTGAACCCAGGAGGCGGAGCTTGCAGTGAGCCGAGATCCGGCCACTGCACTCCAGCCTGGACGACAGAGCGAGACTCCGTCTCAAAAAAAAAAAAAAAAAAAAAAAAAAAAAAAAAAAAAAAAAAAAAAAAAAAAAAAAAAAAAAAAAAAAAAAAAAAAAAAAAAAAAAAAAAAACACTACATAAATAAAGGAGATCATCCTGGGTGACGTGGTTTGGCTTTATCCACTCAGGTGAAGGCTTTGAGAGCAAAACTGCATTTTCTCTGCCTGGAAACTGCTGCGTCAGCTCCGGCCTATGGTCTGCACCTTAGACCTGCCCAGCCAGACCTCAGCATTTCATGAGCCCGTTTCTTGCAGTCCATCTCTTGCTGTGTCAGTATCTAAATACATCCACATCTACACGTGCATACATATCTGTGCATGTGTCTCCTATGGCCTCTGTTTCTCTGGTAGAACCAAGACTGACACAGGTGTGCAGCTATGTTTTTCTTTTGTACATGGGATTTCATAGGAGAAGGGGAGGCGAAGGTCCGGACAGAACAGGACCGGTGTATGGCGTCCCCTGCCTCTGGCGCCTCAAGCCCCATGCGGTAGCATGGCGTGGGACCCAGTCCTCAGGGCTGGGGGGCCATGCCCTCCCACACTCTTTTTTTTTTTTTTTTTTTTGAGACAGAGTCGCCGCTCCCTGTCACCGCAGGCTGGAGTGCAGTGGTGCTATCTCAGCTCTCTTGCAAGCCTCCACCTCCTGTGGTTGCACCACCATTCTCCTGCCTCAGCCTCCTGAGTAGCTGGGACACAGGGTGCCCGGCCGACCACGGCCCAGCTAATTGTTGTATTTTGAGTACAGACGGGGTTTTCACCGTGTTAGCCAGGATGGTCTTGATGCTCCTGACCTCCGTGATCCACCGCCTTGGCCGTCCCAAGTGCTGGGATACAGGCTAAGCCACGCCACCCGGCTGCCCTCCCCACTCTCTCGTCACCCAAGGACGAACAACAAGGCCAGTCATGCCCAGGGGAATGTGACCCTGCGGGAAGGGCTCGATCCCCA